TATGCCCCAACCCGTCACCCTCACCTCCCCCCAACCCTGCTGCCCTCGCCCATCAATTTGACACAATGACCCTCCGTGAACCCACGTGGCTCATGGACACCGGTGCATCACATCATATCGCCTCTGACCCAAGTACTATTTTTCATGTTTATTCAAGAAATTAAATTCATCGCCACCTTTCATCATTGTAGGTAATGGATCCAAAGTACGCGCCACAGCGGTTAGTAAACACACTTTTCCCACCTCCCCACCCTTGTCCCTTCATAATGTTCTTATCTCCCCCCACATCATCCATAACAGTATCTCAGTTCATCAGTTTACTCGTGATAACAATTGAACTATTGAATTTGACTCCATTGGTTTTTCTGTGAAGGATCTTCGGACGGGCAACGTGATTCATCGCTCGAATGATAACGGCCCCCTCTACCCTCTGTGCCCGCACGTCTCAGTTGCTCAAGCACACGCTGCCTCTGTTGACACCCAGACGTGGCATCATCGTCTTGGTCACCCCATCCCAGCCATTCTTCATGTCATCCCTCCTTTATCTATTTTTAATAATAAACATTTTAACGACACTTTGTGTCACGCTTGCCAGTTAGGGAAACATGTGCGTCTCCCTTTTACCTCTTCTGGTCGTATTTCAATCTTTCCATTTCAACTTATGCATGCTGATTTATGGTAGTCGCCCGTACCTAGCATTACTGGCTTTAAACATTATATGCTCCTTCTTGATGACTTTTCACATTGTTTATGGGTTTTTCCATTGCGTCACAAATCTGATGTTTTTTCTCAATTGACAAATTTTATAGCTTATGTGAAAAATCATTTTAACACAACTATTAAAAATGTACAATGTGACAATGGAACACAATACAGTAACACCCCTCTTCAAACCGTTTTTAACTCCTTAGGCATTCTTTTCCGCTTCTCTTGTCCCCACACAAGCCAACAAAATGGTCGTGCCAAACGTACTATCCAAACAATCAACAACACGATTCAAACCTTGCTTTTCCAAGCCCAACTACCCCCCTGAATATTGGGTTGAGGCGCTTCATATGGCCTTCCATCTTTTTAATCTTTTACCCACCACCACTATCCACAAACACACTCCCCACGAAGTACTTTTTCAAACACCACCCTCCTACGACCATCTCCATGTCTTTGGATGTGTCATATCTCCGCCACTGCCCCTCACAAATTATCTCCCTGGTCCACTCAGTGTATTTTCCTTGGCTACCCCTCTCATCAACGTGGATTTCAATGCCTCGATCTAACCACCCACAAAATCATTATCTCCCAACAGGTCATATTTGACGAATCCATGTTTCCCTTCGCTCACCCCACCACGCAACTGGACCGCAACTTCCTTGACACCATGAACGACACAATTCCCCATAACCTACACCAATTTGTTCAATCTCCGCCACCCCTCAC